TACCCAATGACCTCTAACATAAATTTTACGAGCAAGTGCTGCAGCTCTAACATACATCCAATCTTAGTCAATTGGTGAGATTTCTTTTCCAAGTCCTGTCTTTACAATTGAAGCCCAATCAGGAATCTTTATCTTGTTATTTTTTTTCAAGTATTCTGCATAAGCACGAATGAAATCTTAAGCTGGTACATCCTTTAATTAATTTCATGAATTTTACTTTCACAGTATAGAATGGTGTTGACATTAGAAAAATTAAATTATTTTTTGAATATTTGCAAGATTTTAATTAATAATTAAAACCAACTTCTCAAAATTCTAACAATCTCGTATACTTTTCTTATATTATGATTTTTATTCTAAATTATACTCATATTTTTATGAGTTTATTAACAAATAACTATTTAATAAAATAAAAACTTCTCACATATATCCTTATTAGATTATTTTATTAAACGGAAAATAGTTAAAATCTTAAAAATTGAAATTTTAGTAAATACAAATAATTATTTTAAAATAAAAATATTCCAAAAATATGGAGTTCGGTTATAAATTTATAAAGCATTAGAATTCTAAAATTTTTGGATTTCATCTTAAACTAAATAAATATTAAAATCCCAAAATTTTCTATATTTAATTTTATATAAGATGGAAAACCCAAATATTTGAATTTTCATCTATTTTAAAAAATATAGGAAATGGATTGAAAAAATTTATAATATTTTTTTTTAATTATCTATAATATAAATTTTTAAAGGCTCTAAAGTTTTAAAGAGAATTTTATAAAAATGTATTATAGTGATTAATCTAATAAAGTCAATTAATATAGTATTAAAGAATCAAAGAAATTTGATATCCTAAATAAGAAGGATTAAGTTTAAGTTAGATGAAAATGAAAGAATAGGTGTAATAAATTATTGATATATATAATCAATGAATAGGATTGATGATGGAATGTGAATAAGAGAAGTTTGATTAAAGAATGTAAAAAAAATTGATAATTTAAAGATAAAGGAAATAAGAAAATTGTTATAATAAATAGACAATAAGAGAAAGAATGTTATGGAAAAGAAAAAAAAATGTCTTAAATGAATGGAATGAAAAGTTGATTATATTAAGATAGTAATATTATAACGAAATGGGGATAAAATTTTTATAAATTAATTACATACATAAGCATTTTTCGATCCGTTTTTAAAACATTAAATTAAATATATGCAAAAACTAGCCATATTGACATTGGTTCTTGCTCTTGCAGCTGCAAAGTTTGTAGATACACATGCAAGCTTAGCTTAGATTGATTCTAATCCATTTGGAAATGTTGTGTTATCAGCAATCAAGGCCCACTTATAAGCCTAAACACCAGCCAATGAAGTTAATATGTTATTAAATGGTGTTGCTGCTGGATTACAATAAGACTAAAATGACCATGATCATGCTTTTGAACTTGATACAACAACCAATAACAGAGTAAGAATATTAAAATATAATAGATCGTTGAAGATTTAGAAAAGGAAATCTTGTATCACTAAAATCAAATCTCATCAAACACTTAATTGAGAGATGACACAATTGAAGCTTTGGCTGTTTCTGAAGAAGACATTAGAGTCGTTATTTAAGACATTGCAACAAATGAATAAACTTATGCTAGAGAAGAAGCCACAAGAAACTAATAACACGAAACTTTTGTTTCTAAGATTGCTGCCATTGATGATGTTATCGATGCTATTGATGAAGCTGCCAAACTCATCTAACATTTAAGTTTAGGTGCCTCATTTGTCTAAGTCAAATCAAAGTATGAAACAGTTCACAAGAGACTTACTGATAATACATCACACAGTCAACTCTTATAAGTAAATATATATTTATATATTTTTATTATAGCCAGTCGTTGTTGCTCTTACTGAATTAGCTACTCATGGAGTTAACTAAAAGGCTTTAACCAAAATTGCTTAATTATTGAGTGAAATCAGATAATAATTAGTCTCAGAAAAAGCTGCTAAGACAGTATTTATTTCTTATAAATAAATAGGATGTTGAAGAAAGATAAGCTGCACATTGGGCTGAATTCAGCGTTCATTTGAGCAATGAACATACCAGATTGGTTGAAAGAAAAGCTTAATTAGAAGTCTAAATCTAAGAATAAAAGGATACCATTGAAGATGCTTAATCATGGATCGAATTCCACACCTTAGAATTAGAAAACAGTGAAGAAAGACTTGCTGGATAATAAGCATGGTATGCAGTCTAATCAGAAATCTATGAAACTTAAACTGCTGAAAGGTATTATAAATCATATTCTTTTTAGAGCTGCTTAAAATGAAATCGTTGATAGACTTTAAGAACACATCAGTGAGAAATTATCAACCACTGCTCAATTCATCAGCAAAAGAAATTGATTTATTAAAAAAAATAAATTATGAACAATAGTTCTTAGTTCAAATATTTATAGTCTCAAAACTACTAATTTTTGCTTTACATTATTTAACTTTTTAATCTATATAAGATTTTAAAACAAACTTAATCCTAATATTTTAAAATTAATTAAAGTAATATAATAAAATATTATTTACATTTATTTTATTTTATAAAATTTCTTGTCATACAATTTTAAGAAAAAATATTCATATAATTATTAATCTAAATATTTATTTCTAGGGATTCTGAATTTGTTAATTGTTATGAAATAAAAAAAATTTTATCATTTTAAATTTAATTAAAAATAAACTTCTTAATGTTTACTAACGATTATCAATAACATTTTTTTATTCTAAGATTTATAAACAGTTACTTTATATTGTAATGAAAAGGTTGAATCATCATAATCATACATATATATAGTCTTTAAGTTATTTCCTTATACAAGAACTATTAAGATGATTATCAAATGAGAATTAAAAGCAGAATAATAATTGCAAAATTGAGAATAATATTTTTAGACTATCAACTTTCATCATTTTTTTGCTATTCGTTTTATTTTTTAATTTCCTTTAATAAACTTTGATGTTTTCTTAATTACTTCTTTAATGATTCTAAATCCTCTCGAGACATTTGTCTTAGTATCTTTAACCACTTAAATTCCATGCTAGATAAATTTTGAACTTTTTCTTCTATTTCTGGCAAATAAATCTGTGAGTAGGCTGATGAATAGGTTTTTGAATTCATACTAAAAATTTACTAAAGAAATTAATTATTATTGTCTAAATAAACCTTGATGAATAAATTATGACAATGTGATTTTATAAAAACAAGAAATGATAGTTTAAATTATCTATATACATCATAAGTTCTAAATTAGTTTATCAATTTTGATATTATTATAATTAAGACTTATGAAAACTAAAAAGATAAATTGTTTTGATGTTGAAGCATGTGATAATGCTTTATTTGATTGTGAATAAATAATAAAATCCAAATCAAAGTCAAAGACAAAGTCAAACACGGAATTTACCCCTTTAGAAGTTCAGTACTAGGATATTAAAAAGGATTATCCACATGATCTTGTTTTACTTTAAAAGGGCAATTTTTTTTTGGCATATTAAGAAGATGCTCATTTTATTAGGAATTACATTGATTTATAATGGAAAATTCCAAATTATTAAGTTGGATTGAATGAAGCATCTGTTATAGAACATGTTCATACACTAATAATGTAGACAGATAAAAAAGTTGTTTATTGTGAATAATCTGTTTTTTAAATGACTTCTAACTAATTGCGTGATCGTTTTATTACTGGAATCTATAGCAAAGGACTTATAGGTTTTGGAATATTAGGAGAGTTCATAGAAAATATTGATACTAATTATTTAGTTTCACTTTACAAGAATGAAGCAATAGTATTAGACACCATAAGTAAAGTAGCTTATAAAACTAGTGGTGAAAATTTAAATTTGATTAAGATTACTGAAATAATTACTAATGAAAAAATAAAAACCTTAGCTATAAAAAATGCTGCAAAAGGAAACAATGCTTTTGAGTAGCTTGAAATGTTCTTTAAAGAAAGGTTTATAGATGGAATATCATAGATTACTTTTATTGATAATTTTCCATTACTTTAAAAATTCTGTTCAATATCTGATAATTCAATAAAATAATTATTCTTTAGGCCATTAATTTAACCAGTAACTAAGGAAGGATGTAGAAAACTATAGATGACTCTAAGAAAAATTCCAATTGATGGTATATAGGACAAATAATTAGCTTAACAAGATATGAGAAATCACTCTGAATGTAGAGACAGTTTCTTAGCTGAAATAAAAAGAATTGGATCTTTGTAACATTAAATGGCTAGAGTATTTAATGCTCCAAAAGATTGTTTTATCTTAAAATAATTCTTAAATAATATTAAATATATTCTAGTGTAATTAAAACAGAAGATTTATATTAATAAATAAAATTATCAAAGCGAATAATTAAAAAATTTAAAAGAATTAAATGATGTGATTTTACAAAAAATATGTTCTTAATTTTTATGGGAAGGTGATAATCTTGATGTTTTAGTTCCTTAAAATGAAGGAAGAAGTCAATACAATAAGATATTAGATGATTTAGAATAAACAGAAGAAGAAGCTAATGATGAATATCTAAAAATAAAAAGTTAATTTTATTAAAATGATCCTAATATTACTTATTAAAAATTTGAAATTGAGATGCCAGAAAATTATAAAACACCTTCTTTTTTATTGTTTTCAAATTAAAGAAAAGGATACAGAAAATATACTACTTAATTTTTTCAAAAGAAATAACAATAACACATAAAACTTTTAGATTAGTTGAAAAAGTTTATTCATTTATTCTATTAACAAGTTATTGAAAATATAATCTAAAATAAGGAGTATTTTTAAGAAATAATAAATTAAATAAGTGATTTAGATGTTTTGATAGCAATGTCAAAATATTTAGAAAATATATAACACAAATGTCTTCCAAATTAATCAGATTAAAATCAATTAGTTTTATAAGATTTTTGTCATCCATTAATTTAAAACTGTAAACCTAATAGTCTTTCAATTGATAAATGTATTATTCTTACAGGTTATAATGGAGCAGGAAAATCAACTATTCTAAGATCTATAGGATTACTTGTGATTTTAGCTATGCTAGGATGTTATGTTCCGTGTTCATATATGAAATTTAAAACCTTTAATGAAATACATTGTCGCATGGGTGCTTATGATACAATAAGAGAAAGTACATTTTATGTAGAATTACAAGAAGTAAGAAGAATGATTGATACATCAAATAGTTTATTATTAATTGACGAATTAGGAAGAGGAACAAGTTCAATTGATGGTCATGCTATAGCTTATTCAATTTTAAAATATCTACTCAAATAAAACAGCATGATTTTATTCATTACTCATTTTGATATAACATTAGATTAAGTAGTGTATTATATGGATAATTATGAATTGTAGAAAGGACAGATTATTAAAGAACTTACATCTAAAATATTAATATGATAAACAAGTATAGTTATAAATATATATTATTAAAAACGGAAATGAATTGGTTAATCTTTCTAGGTTTCATTTATTTGTGTTAAGCTGAGCATTTTCTATACGAATCAGAAACAGGGGTTACTATACAAAATATCATTAATAAAGATGTTGATATCAATATCAAATTCAAAAAACAATTCACAAGAACTCCAAAGATTGCTTATTCAATTGGCTTATTAGACATGAGTGGTTCTTCATTCATGAGTGAAATTTTGAATGTTAATTAACAAGGTATTTCCTTAAAATTAAAGCAGGTTTCACAATTAGAGTTAAAGGAGATCATCTTGATTAAATCTCGTATAATTGGATGGCTACTGATAATCCTTTAGTCCATATTGAATATGTTAAATCATCAGAATCTGAAATCTAACTACCCCTTTTTAATTATGATAGCGATACAACTCCTTTAGTTAATTCATATTTGGTGGGTGCCACATTTGATGGAAAGAAATAATTCAATCAAGAAATAGTCGAATTAAATAAAGACATTATAAAAATAGCAACAAGCGGTGCAAAAGAATTTAAATTATGTCTTTTGATATCAAACTTTGAGAACAGTTTCAAGACTGATGATTTGGGAATAATTGTTGATTCTGATGATCATACATGGTTTTAAACTTCTAAAGATGCTTAAAAAATTTTGGTTTCTTCTTATGAAATTCCTAGTGATATTGTAGATTTTGTATAATTGATGGGTATTTCAGGATTTACATCTTTAAGTGATCATTTAAGAATAGAAGTTAATGAAGAATAGGAAAATGATGATAATGTTATAAAAGTTGAATTTGGAACTTGTAAAAATCATATTTAATAAAATAGGGGATGAATCAACAATCAAATCACTTAGCTTTTATGGATTTTATATAGGCAATTAAGAAGTGAAATATTATGATTAAAATTGTGCTTATTTATATAGTGAATGTGACTATTAAGGATAAGAGGTCAAAATTTGTGACAATAAAGCAAAACTTGATTATAATGGGTAGATAAAAAGCATAAGATTACCCAAAGATGCTGTATTCACTCTTTATGGAAAGGAAGAATTCGAAGGAAAGAGGTTTAGAATTGAATCTAGTAAATAATGCATGGATCCATTATATCTTGGAAAATGAGCATTTATATATAATGAACAAATTAATCATGATACTAGTATTATTATTTTAGAATTATATTAAATATATGTGTTAGAATAGTCATTCAACAAAATTAATTATTTATATTGTTTTGTAATAAATAAATTATAAAAATGGATTTATTTTTTGATGATCCAGCAGGTCCTATTGAGACTTACATAATCCCTGAAGTTGCAGCTCAACCTTTAATGTTTAATGATGCAGGTATGGTATTTTTGAAATTATTAATAAAGCTAGATAACAATTTGATATGCCAATTCTACTTAATGCAGCAGTTAATCTAGTGGTATATGTGCCAAATTAATCTTTACATTATAGAGTGCTGAATAATAAATAAGAAGAGATAAATTAAAAGAGATTGAGGAAGAAAGAATTAAACTTATAAGGGAAAGAGATTAGGAAGAAAGAATTTAAAAATAGTAAAGAAAAGAGAGAGCTTAATAATATTTATTGCAGTTTTAAACGTAATTTTTTATATTCTATATAAAGACAATTGAAAAATGAGATCGAAGAAAGAAAAACTGCAAATAAACAAACTTAAGAATTAAAGTCTCAAAATAAAAATGAATATGTATTATTTATTCATGCTACTTAAGAAAAACTCTTGGGATAAGGTAGCCTCTAATATTGAATTGAAAGATGGATAATATCCTGGAGGAAAAGATGTTACAAAAATGAGATAAGCCATACTTAACAAGAGAAAAGACTTGACTAAGTGAAAATGTATATTGTAAAATATATAATAAATAATAATATTTAATCATTACTAATAACTAAATAATTATTATTCAAATTACTAAATATTTCTTTATATTCTTTTTAGATAAATTATTACAACTGATTTAAAAATGATTCATAAAAAAATAAATTTTATAATGTCCCTATTATTATTGATTTTGATTCTCACATCATCTGGAACCTGCAAAATTGTATTAAAAGCAATTTAAATTTCTTTATCATTTTTTGTAATTCTTTATATAACTAAATAATAATCTGTAGAATTCTGATTTTTTTAAAGTGTTATATTATTGAAGATTGATACATCTAATCAAATTTCCATAACATTTAGATGAAAATTTGAATCAAATTACAAAAAGAAAAAGTTATAGATATGAATGATAAACTAATTTCATAAAAAAGAATTTTAATATTTAAAAAGTTTTCTACAAATATTTTGAGTATAGGTTAAGGAAATATGATCAGGAAGCTAAGAATAAGTATAATTTTTTGGTATTTAAAAAAAAATCTCATTTTTTCTTCTTTAAAAAAATGAAACACAAAAGTTTAGTAAAGTATAAGAAAGATTGGAAAAAAATGAATTATTTCAATTATATATATAGTAAACTGACTATGTTTTGAGAGATTAGGATGAATTACATAAGATTAGATGAGTTAAAACGATAAATGAGTGTAATTATATAAAAGAGTAAAAACGAATAGTGTGATTGGAAAAACGAAAAAAAGTATGATAGAGAAGCATAAATAAAATAATGAAATTGATTCTCATCGCTCTTTTGGGATTAACACTCACATAAGCTGTCTTTGTTAAAAGATCAAATGATCCAAGCAAGGCTGTTTTCACATAATTAGAAGCTATGGAAGAACATGAATTAGGAAGAAAATTGTTAGACACAATTGCTCTCTAATTGAACAACAAGGCCCCATTAGGTGATATCGCTAAAATGTTATAATAATTGAGAGAAAACCTTATTCTTAACTAATAAGAAGCTGATTAAAAGCATGCTTAAGACGAAGTTGATTGTGAAACAGAAATTTACTAATACAATAGAAGAATTGACTTTGCTTCAAATGAAATCACCGAATCAACCTAAGAAATCTAAACCCTCAGTGCTAAGGTTGAATAATTAACATAAGATGTTGAAAACAAATAAGTTTAATTAGACATCTTAAATGAATAAGAAACTTAAATTAGAGAATAAAGAGCTGAAGATGCTGAAAGTTTCAAGAGATTTGAAAATGAAACAGAAAACGTCATTGAAGCTGTTGAAGTCATCATCTAAAAGTTGAGCTCAATCTAACCAGATTAAGAAGTATTGGCTGCTTTAACATAATTGAATAAGATTGGTGCATCAAACCCAATTCTTGCTCTTATGTAAGTTGCATCAACATTCTCAGCTGAATAATTAAACAATGTCCTCAATAAATTAGGTGAAGTCAGTGTCTAATTAGCTGAAGCTCTTGAAGATGCAAGAACAGCTGAAATCTAAGCTTAATTAGATTTTGAAGCCTTAGTTGTTGAAATTGCTTCATAAAGAGAATCATTGAGTGCTGCTAGAGAAGATTCTGAAAGATAACTCTAAGATAACTAATAAGCTTTAGATTTATAAAAGAAGAGAAAGGAAGATGCCACCGATGAATTGAATGCTGCCTCATCAGGAAAAGAATAAAAGGAAGCTGAATGTGACTCATGGAGAACTTAATATGCTGAAGACTCAGAACACAGATAATAAGAAATCTCCATCATCAGATAAGTTGAAGAGATTTTGGCTACCAAGTTATCCAACGTCAAAGTTTACCTCTAAGAAAGATCATCAGCTTGATAACAATTTTATTCTTTAAATAAAAAAAACCAATTTAATCAATTCTTTTCTAAATTCTACAATCTTATTATATGTTAATTGTATCGTTATTTAGTTTTATTTCTATGTATTCATATAATAATTTATTTTTTTCTAAGAGACTTAATGACTTAATTTAATACTAAAGTTTACATAATCATATATGAATTTTACTATATTAAAAACTTAATTTTTCGAAATATTTGGACATTCAAATTGTTTTTAATCAAATTCCTTTTCTTGAATTTTATCTATGAATTATTTAACTTATTTTATCATAATATATATTTAAATTTTTTAAACAAAATTTAATAATCTCATCCATTTCTTGATATAAGTTATTACTGTCCTATAGATATTTATTTCTTTGGAGATGCTTCTATTTATTCAGATGCTTTAATGTAGTCTTTTTGTTTATCCATCTNAATGAAATCACCGAATCAACCTAAGAAATCTAAACCCTCAGTGCTAAGGTTGAATAATTAACATAAGATGTTGAAAACAAATAAGTTTAATTAGACATCTTAAATGAATAAGAAACTTAAATTAGAGAATAAAGAGCTGAAGATGCTGAAAGTTTCAAGAGATTTGAAAATGAAACAGAAAACGTCATTGAAGCTGTTGAAGTCATCATCTAAAAGTTGAGCTCAATCTAACCAGATTAAGAAGTATTGGCTGCTTTAACATAATTGAATAAGATTGGTGCATCAAACCCAATTCTTGCTCTTATGTAAGTTGCATCAACATTCTCAGCTGAATAATTAAACAATGTCCTCAATAAATTAGGTGAAGTCAGTGTCTAATTAGCTGAAGCTCTTGAAGATGCAAGAACAGCTGAAATCTAAGCTTAATTAGATTTTGAAGCCTTAGTTGTTGAAATTGCTTCATAAAGAGAATCATTGAGTGCTGCTAGAGAAGATTCTGAAAGATAACTCTAAGATAACTAATAAGCTTTAGATTTATAAAAGAAGAGAAAGGAAGATGCCACCGATGAATTGAATGCTGCCTCATCAGGAAAAGAATAAAAGGAAGCTGAATGTGACTCATGGAGAACTTAATATGCTGAAGACTCAGAACACAGATAATAAGAAATCTCCATCATCAGATAAGTTGAAGAGATTTTGGCTACCAAGTTATCCAACGTCAAAGTTTACCTCTAAGAAAGATCATCAGCTTGATAACAATTTTATTCTTTAAATAAAAAAAACCAATTTAATCAATTCTTTTCTAAATTCTACAATCTTATTATATGTTAATTGTATCGTTATTTAGTTTTATTTCTATGTATTCATATAATAATTTATTTTTTTCTAAGAGACTTAATGACTTAATTTAATACTAAAGTTTACATAATCATATATGAATTTTACTATATTAAAAACTTAATTTTTCGAAATATTTGGACATTCAAATTGTTTTTAATCAAATTCCTTTTCTTGAATTTTATCTATGAATTATTTAACTTATTTTATCATAATATATATTTAAATTTTTTAAACAAAATTTAATAATCTCATCCATTTCTTGATATAAGTTATTACTGTCCTATAGATATTTATTTCTTTGGAGATGCTTCTATTTATTCAGATGCTTTAATGTAGTCTTTTTGTTTATCCATCTTATTTTCAGATGCTGATATTGGACTTGATCCTTAAACTGATATTTGCTACTATTGTTATTATTATTATTCTTAATGAGTATTTACAATTTAATCACATAGTGAAATCATTTTATCTAAATATTCAAAATTACTAGGTTATTAATCCCATTAATATAATTCATTAAAAGCTTTTCTTGCTTTCAATAATTTGATATTATTTTTCAACTATTACAATTTCAACTTGATATGAGAAGATTTATATAAAGAAACTAATATTTCTTATTTATAAGAAGTTAGTTGATAATTTAAATTGATTATGTTATTATAAAATGATCTTGCAGTTAATTGTAATTATTAATGTAATTGATTTGGTGTTAATTAATTAGTTCTGGCAAAAAGAGTAGCTTATATAATCTTCTCATTCACATTCTAACTAGTTTCAATTAGATGTTTTGTATCCACAATCTATTAAAGATTAATCTGAGATTGCTTATCCTAAACAAGTTTACAAACTTCAATATTCATTTATGAACCAACAGCATACATTTTCTCTAAAGTATAATTGCCACTCTATCTCATAGGAGATGTTATAGCATTCATCACTGTTGCTATTAAATTATTATAATCATTATAGGTTAATGTCGATTTATATTACCTTGAATAGAAGTCATTCAATCCAAAATTATCAAACGCAACCACATTTAATTCTTTAAGAATACTTAAATTCTATGCACTTTTTACTATATCGTGTCCATACTCTTAATTAGGAAAGATTGTAAAGGTCTATACAACATTTTGATAATTTTCAACAACATATTATATTATACTAATATCTGTACTTAAATGATGAGTTATCTATATTCCTTGACAGTTATCACATATTTCCATTTCTTTATGTAAACAATCCTCTAAATCCATTTAGTAGTTATTCGGATTAAAAATAAGTGATTGTGGATTTGCAAGTATTTACTCTACATCTCTTGAACATAAAATTGATCGAGGAACAAACTTTTTATCTCCAATTTCACTAAAGTGTACTTCTATTCCTTCTGCAGGTTTTTCACATGTCCTATTATTTTCAATTTAATAATCTTGAACAAGTTATTCATAAAATTTGCATCCTAATCTAACCCCACAATTTCCCAAACCTATATGTATTATTTCTCTCATTTATTTTATAATGAATTATTAATAAATTTTTAATTTAATCAATAGAATATTATAAATATCACAAAAAGGAATATCTTTTTATTATATAAACATTCTCCAAAAGATTTATGATAATGGAATTCAATTTATTTTAAATATGATATTTTAAATAATTTAACAAAATTCTAACCTATTTCTATATACAATTATTTATAATCATTTTTGCATCTTAATTTCAGCTTTTATATCTTTTAATCTTCCCACCAATTCTTTAAATTATTCATTTTCATTATAATAGGGTTCCAATAACTTTATTGCTTAAATGCTGTAATTTTCAGCTTTTATAAGATAATTTAAATGAAATCCCAATTTTGATGCTTCATTCATTTTCCAACCTATATATGGATGATTATCATTATCATAATATTTAGGCATTTCAATAATAATTTCTTCTAATATTGAAAATGCTTTTTTAAATTTCTATTTATTTAGAAGAGTTAAATATTCTTATTACTTTTTATTGAATAAATCTTAATTTTCCTAATCCTTATTCTCTGTTTATTCTTAAAGACATCTATCACATTCACATATAAATCCATATTAAGATTTTAAAAACTATTATCTTTCTTTAAAATTAATTATATTTCCATAACTAATACATAATTCTTATGGATCATTTTCATTTTATATAAATGAATTATTAGTAGTTATTATTAATTGTCTATTATTAAAAAAATGAGAACAATTGGCAATATTTTGTTATTTGGGTGATGTTTTAATGCATCTATGATTTAAAAAGTTGGCTGGGGTATATAATGCAATTCCAAAAGTATCACCATTTATATCACTTACAGTAAATGTATTTAAATGAATTTTAACTTGAATTGACATCAATTTTGCAAAACTTTCATTTTATAATGAAGCAATTTTTACAATATAAGCTGCACAATCAAAAAATTATTAATAAATATTTTGATCTATATCTTTATCAACATCTCCATAAAAATTCAATATATCAACATTATTTTGAAACAGTCTGATAAGTATTAACATATTACATGGCATTTCTCTACCAATTTTATTCAATAACTGACATTCATTTTTATGTTATTTCCAATCACTTTTTTAGCAAGAGATAGAACAATAAAAATATTATTTGCAATTAGAACAACGATTAGTTTATGATTCTTATAGACAATAATTACAACGATTGGATCTAAATTCTTTAAAAAGTACAATTGCTAAGGGTTCACATTTCATAACTAATTGATTTTGTTTTTGAAGTGCAAAATATCTTCTATCTAAAGGATTAATGATTTTAATCATAAATTAATAATATAATCAAACTTATTAAATTTATTATTATTATTATTATTATTAATTTGGAATGACTTAAATTTTCTTTTCATCCTCTAATTATTTGTCTGAAATGAGTTTAGATATATATCCAAATATTTTAGTTCTTCCTTCTCTAATAACAAGTATCTATTCAGTTTTTAAATATTCTGCAGCATAAAGAAAGCGTAATCTTAATTAAATAAATTGATTACCTAACAGTATCTACATCTCCAGTTCGTAAGACATCATGTTGAAATATTTTTTTCATTTCTACAGCTTATCTAATAACACCACAATGCATAACTGCTTAATATCCATGACTCATTGTTGTTGGATGATGGAGTACATGAATGTTTGCCTTAAATGATAATAATAATTCTATACTTCAAATTCAAAAACAGGTTCAGGTTTAACAGTAGGATCAATCAATATCATTCCTTTTCTAAAATCAGCTCTATCTAATTTATCTCCTGCCTTAGATGGTTTAAGTGCAAAACATGCAAATTCTCCAACTTATGCTGATTCAACAGATACTCTATTAATATGAATAGATTTGATAGTTATTGGTTTGAATGCTAAAATAATATATATAATATATTACTTTTTCCTTTATCTGGTCCTAACAAAGCATGTTAATTAATTCCTGCTTTTCCACTTCTAACTATACCACTTACTACAACCCCAACACCTGGAACATTAAAATTTTCTTATATATCAAATTAGAATGGATCATTAACTGTTTAATAAGCTTTATTTATTTCATCTCTATTAGGAACTTTACTTATAAAACGTGTCAATTATGGTAATCCATTCCCTGTTACACTAGAAACTTAAAATATTGGAACAACATTATTTCCATGCATAAGTGCTGCCCATTTATCTATTTCATCCATTCCAGATTTTTCATCAAAAACTACTGCTGTTCTTTTTATTGCTGGACTTCTAATCAAACTTTTAATATTTTCTATTGTCTCATTATAAACATTTTAAGGAGCTATATCAATTTTTGTTAGAACTATTGCAAATGGTATTTTCAAAAATAAACTAACTCCTAAATGTTCTCTTGTCATTTTTGATACTCCCATATTTGCTCCTACAATTATTAAAGAATAATCTGGAATCATCGCAACTAATCCAAATATTGTTGTTTTTAAATATTTTTCATGACCACAGAGATCCAAAAATGTTACTATTTTTTTACTCTTTTCAACCACTAGACTCCAATATTTATTTTTATTTTAATTGAATCTCTCAGGAAGTACTTACTTTAAATTTTCATCAAATCCCATTATTTCTTGAGCCACTGAAGATGTCCTTCCATTCTCTTTTTCATGCTTATAATTAAAAACGCGCTGAGAATAAATTATAATTCAAACCTCTCTTGCTCCTCCTCTTCCATCATCTAAAATTCCTTTTGTCAATACTCCAACCAATGTTGATTTACCAGAGTCAACATTACCAATTATTGCCAACTTACTATGCTCTATTCTTTATACTTGCATTATATTAATATACGTATTATTTTTTTATGTTTTAATTTAGATACCAAATAATTCTTTCTTAAAATTTTATAATATTATATAAATCAAAAAAATCATTATCAATAATGTTGTTATACTTTTTCTTTATTTTATTGTTAAACTAATTTATTCTAATGAATTCTTAAGACTCCTGCTAATCATACTCTTATTTCCAAAAAAATAGATTCTTTATTAGTTTTATTTATTATTATTTTTTTATTTTTAATGAAGCTAATTTTCCTATAAATCATATTTATTTCATTATGCACATTCTGCATTATAATAAAATATTCATCAATTTTTTAAAGAAAATATATTAGTATTTTAATCATATACAAATTGTATTTAATTCAATTGTAAATCAAAATAAAATTTGTTTAAGTTTCGTAATAGTATAAGTTAATTCGAAAAAGGCTGTTTCTTCTTTTTTTTATTGATTAATTAAATCATATTTTAATGATTTTTTTTCATACCATTTTTAAAAAATAAAGAGTATTTAAAGATAAGTATACACAGAGTAATTTTGTTAAATGGATGATTTCATTCAATAAAATTGGAGTTATTCTAATTAATATTTAATGAGATTTTAAAAATGTAATTCAAATTATTATGTTTTCATTATATTATGAATATTAATCAATATAAATTGAGTAAATCGTCAGCAAAGAATACTTCTATTTCTACTACTGATAATATTTTATAATATGAACTATTGGTAGGTATTGTCTATCTATAACTTGTCATGTATCTCAATTTGATATACTACTTTAAGATATTTAAATCATTATCAAATTTACTTGGTTCTTCATGATCTTTGACAACATATTTGTAAAGTAAATAAAATGTGTAACACCAATCATCAGGTTAGAAATCATTTATATTTTTAGCAACATATGTTAAAGTGGATTCCAAAAATTCTGTCAAATAATAAACTAAATCACTTTCATCTAATTTTTTTAGGAAGGCAACTAAGTCTTCATGATTAAAATTAACATCATCTAAATTAAGATTAGATTTGGCTAAAACTGATAAAATTTGATTTTTATCTTCTAATCTTTCAAATATTGAATAGATGCTAAGAAGATCTTATTTTTTTGATTTGATGTTCTTTAAATTGAGTAAAGATAATTCATAAATCATTTAGATAACATGATTAACATGTTTAAAACATTTCTAATTTTATAATTTTTCATTTAAGATGTTTAAATTTTTAAGTGAATCATATGTTATATCCTCTAATTCTCTTTTAAGAAAGAGATTAAGAATTCTATCAGCAAATTAATCTCTAAATGGTTGTTCAATTTCTTGATGATATTTCAACATTAATTCAATCAATAGATTGTAATCTTGAAAATTATTTATTAGTTTATTAAGATCAGAGAATTGATTGAGTTCCATATGAAATTGTTATAATAATTTAAGAAATAATGCTCGATTAGCTTAATCTAATTCTTGAATGTTGAAATGATCAATACAAAAAAAGAAGATGAATTAATATGTAGATAAAGATACAGGAGGTTATTTTAAAGCTTGAATAAAATATTACATAATAACAAGCATTTAATTTTTAGTAGCATATACCTTAAATTTTCTAAGATGTTAATATGCTCTATTCAATTCATGATCACAAAGATCAAGATTCTTCTTATTTTCTACAAAACCTATAAAATCACAAAAAGCTTCTTGTGAAATGTCTTTAACTATATTTAAATGCCATATTTCATGTAAGAAGGAAGAAAAGTCATATACAGCATGAGTAAATTCGGTGTATTGATACCAATTGAGTATACCTTATTTATGATAATTATCCATGGCTGCAATCCAAGATTTTGAGTCATAATACTTAATCTAATGGAGGATATTGATAAACTAGGAAATGTTGTATTCTATAAATTAAAGAGCGAGATTTACCATCATTGTCTGAATAATTTAGACTTGTAAGTTCTACAGTTAATGAACTAATTATAGATTACACACCATTAAGTGAAAGATTTTTGAATTCACTATTTTGATTAACCATGTTCTATAGAATATCCATTTTATCATCAAATGTCATATTAGAGCCATAACAATGAAATTTAAAATAGAGATCTTCTAAAGAACCTGGATAGATTTTGTGAGGTTTTGGATGTTTAAGATATTGTTTTTAGGTGTATTTCTTAAGTTACAGAATCTCATTTGGAGATTGTTGTTTTATGAGTGATGTACATTTGTATAAATTGACGATGTTCTTTTTGAACATTTTTATAAAAAACTAAAATGCCTAAATACATTGATGTATTAACAATCGAATAAGCTTTAATAAAAGCAGGAAATGGACATTAATTTTAAAGGAGAGCTTTAATAATAATGGGTTTATAGTATATGATAGCAGGGATGCTACATATAGCAATGACAGAGTTATTCTTCCATTAATAATAATACAAATGTCTTTCAGAAGATCTGAATTATTAGGATTGTACTGAGGGTGCCTTTTGTGAATAATATAATACGAAAGAAAACAAAGTGTCTTTAGTAGATAATTCAGACTTAGGTAGTTTGATAAAATACTTCTTAATGGTATGTGGTGATAAAATTCAAATATTTATATTGGTCACAGCATATTATATTGGAGGTAGTATGGGATCATTGTATTATGGAGAATAAATGGAAATAAGATAAGGCAGATAGTATTCTTAATTATAAATAACATTAGTACCGTAATGATAGAAACATTATTGATGATGGGATTTGTATGTTGTATAAGTATGTTATCACCATCTGCATATATATTGAGTGTAGCATTATTTGCAATCAATTTCTTTTCTAGAGGCTTTTTTAATTCATCAATGATATTGTTTTTTGAGATATCGAGTGAAAATCTTTAGAAATTCGGACCTGCATTATTATTAACATGTTATGGAGTTGGAGAAGTTATATCTCCTAGACTTATAGAAATGTTTAATTTAAATTGGTAATATTCAATGCTTATTTTATTTGGATTACCTGCAGTCTTATTTTCTGTCTTAATCAAATTTATGTAGGAATCTCCAAGAATTTTAGTTATTAGACGTAAATTTGAAGAAGCAAGATTAACCATTAATTATATTGCTAGTGTAAATGAGAGATAAATGCCTGAAAATTGGTTATTAGAAGATGAAGTCAGAATTTAAGAATTAAAAGAAAAAATGAAGAATATCTTACTTTAAGAAGAAATTCATGAATAACCTAAAGGATACAATTTTTCGTCTATCTTTAGATATAAATCACTTAGAATTAGAATGTTCTGTCTACTATATTTATATAGTATTATTGTTTTGGGATAATTCTAAACTGCTAAAGAAATTGAAAGATTCTCTAGATTAGAAAGACATCACACTTATCTACTTTTATCATTAGTTTCAACTGCTGGTTACTTAATTAGTGGATATGCTTCATTAAATTATCTTAGAAAAGAAGTTATCAAAGCTATCTTAATATTAGGAAGTATATTTCATTTTTTAATTGCTGCTTTACCTTTATTAATTTTAAATAAAACAGCTAGTGATTTAATCACCTTTTATGATAAATTAGTATATACATTCATTATGATGGTTTTAGTCATGTGTAGATTGACTTTAAGTTTTGCTTATGGATTCATCAATGTAAATTAATTTCATCATTATAGGTCTATGCTTTAGAAATATTCCCTACTTCTTTGAGGCATTATGGATTTTGTGGACTTACTTTCTTGACTGAATTCCTTTTTATATTCCAGGATTCATACGTCATCTTTTGTCATGCTTTTGGACTCAATAGTTCTATTGGCATGTTTGCCTTATTACTCTTAGGATTATTAACCTTATAGAAATTGAGGGAAACTTAAGATTTGCCACTCAAAGAAAATGTAGACGAAATGCAAGATGAGTTAATTAATAACATATATTCTGCTTGATATTTATACACATTTTAGAAATAAGATTCATCGTTGTCTAGATTTTCTTAATCTCTCTACATGAATATTTACAAAATGTTTTGGAGATTATTAAGAAGTATTTGAAAAATAAGAAGATCCTTTTAACTAAGTTAATTCACCTCTTTCTGTTTTTAACAAGTTTCTCAATCGATTAGAATTTGTATTACTTAATTTATAAAGTTAATGACTTTATTTTTGATACTCTGATGTTAATTTTACATAATTTGGAATTTCAATAGGAATTAAACAATTTGTGCTTGTAATAGGTGGATGTTAAATATGCCGATTACTTAATGAAATTTATCTAGTCTAACAAAAACGAGTAATTTCTGAATCTAAATTTAAAATAGTCTTTGTTTGAGGTCGATTAGTAAGTAAAGATTCAGTAGCTTTTCTTCTCAATAGAATTTACTTTAAATGTCTTTCTGCCTTTAATTCTGATTTCTTAGAAGAATCAGTTGTTAAATTATGATTTTCTAAAGTCATTAGAAATTGCTAAGAACTCAATGTCATTAATATTGTCTCATTACTTTTACAAGTAGCCTTTTAAGTTCTTTTTATTCCTTTAAGTATTTCATTTTCTCCAAATATTGCTCCTTTTGTCATTAAAGATATAACAATCCTTTATCTATTATTTATTTGATATGACAATTCTACTTCTCCAGTCATTATAAAATATACTGAATGTGACTCTTCATTCTCTTTATATATTATACTGTTCAATTTAGGTTAAATCTCTATCATTTAATGCATTAGTTAAGTCAAATGTGAATCAGGTATTCCATGTAAATAAGGGATATTATCAAAGAAGGCTAATTATTATTTATGTATTGAATTGTGATGCTCATATAAAATACGATCGAAAGCGTTTTTTTAAAGAGTCATAAAATGACAATCTACACTACAAATTATTGTTGCTGTTCTCTTTGATTTTGTTATTAGAGCTAATTCTCCAAATGTATCTCCAGCCTTTAATACTCTTACCTTTATAAAGTCTTAATATGCTATTGTTAAATATTCATTAAAATCGCTAAATTATTTTCTTTTCTCATTCTCAATTCTTTATCTTATCTATTCAACTGTCAATCGATGATTCAATAACTCTTCCTATATCTAAGGTTTCGGTAGCAATACCACCACTTCACCTTTTAGAATTATATAATATGTTGATCCCATATCACCTAGTCATAATATTAGCTTATACCATAATTAAAAACTGATTCATATGCTCTTACATTCTCATAATTAAGGTTCTTGTAAATTTACGTATAAAGATAAAGAGGAAGCTTAGATTTCTACTCTTCGAAGAATTTTAAATTCCCAAAATTTTTCATCATAAATTCCAGTTCTGTCTTTGTTAAATCACCCCTTTTAAGTAATTCTATTGTTATCTAAATCTTATATTTCAATACCTCATAATTTTCATTTTCATAATCTGTTATTGCCTACAATTTACGTCGAATTGATTTGAGCATATAAAAATAAAATTTATGAATATTTAACTTTCTTGTCAAAAGCTTTTTTAATTAATTATTTTTAAAGAAATTAAAATTATTCTTAAATTTTCTCAATTATAATCATAATTCAAATAATCTAACAAAAAACTTCATTTTTCTACAAGTCTATTCTAATTACAAAGAATTTTTATTTTATCTTTTTCATTATATAATTAATTTAGAATCGAATTAAATTACATAATATATTAATGAATAGTTTAAATAAAAATTTTAATTATGAATATGTTTCACTTTTTTTATTTTTTAATCTATTTAATGTCCTCTGTTAATTTCTAATTATCTTTAAATATTAATGATGTCATATTTTTTATTAATGTACCAAATTCAAATAGTTCTTCTTTAGTATTATATGTCTTCATTGCTAAAGATAGAATTTATAACAGATCATTATATCTATTTTAGAATCTAAAGGTAATTTTAATTATACCGTGCTTATTATAAGACAAATTTTGAGTATCCTTCTAATTATTAAATTGTATTTTTTAAATTAGATCTTTCATTATCAATCAAACCTTAGAATTTTTAAATTTGAACCTAATTTTCTGATTTTTTTAGACTTTCTTAATTACGCAAAAGAGCTTCATGATGAGCTGATATTTTATTCAATGACTTATTATATAAAATAATTACTTACCTTTTTTAATAAATCCAAGACCTCCTTATATTACATTAACTATTTGTATTCTGGTCCAAAATCTTACTCCTGCGGATTGAAATAATTTTGTAAATCCTTACATTTTATGATTCATTCTCTTATACTTATTCTGGGTACATTGTTGGCATTGAATCAGGAATTCTTTAACCTCCTATTGGAACAACTGTTGGATTTCCATGATGGAAATTAGCTGAATTTCTATCGAATTATTCTATAAAAGCTTCCTCTGATTCAATCAAGTCTTTTTGAAAATCACTTTAATCCATTTATAAAAGAAATAATTATAAGAATTTATTCTCAAAATTATTTTAAAGTCAAATTTAAAGAATTATAGAGCCCAAATATTATTCAAAATGAAATCAAATAAATCCATAATTAGCAACTTTACATCAGTCGAAAATTATATCAAAAATAGTTCTGAGGCTTTCAAAATCAAGAATCCTAAACTTACAAGTCGTTAAATAGAAAGTAAACTAAGAGAATAATGGAAATAAGAACTAGTAAAATATCAAAGTATTTCAAATAAAAAAGAATTGTCTATTAATGTCAAGACAGAAGACATATATATTCCTATAGAACCTATAATTATTTCAAAAAAAGTTTATTTATTCTTATAATTTTAGGTTTAAACAAATTCAGAAAAAAAAAAAAATTAAAAAAAAAAGAAAAACTACAAAAAAAATTACAAAAAAAACTACAAAAAAAATAAATCAAAAAAATACTCAAAAAAACCCTCAAAAAAATCTAAACCAGTTGGTGCTATAGATAATCCAGATATACCTTTGGATTCGTTACAATCTTTAGAAGAATAAGTATAAAATATATAAATAGATACAAATTAAACAAAAGCAGAAAATCAAAATGCTAAAAAATAAAACTCAAAGAATGGAAATAATAATAAAAATTTTTAAAATACATAATAACAAAAAAATAACGCTAAATAAATTAAAGTCTAATTTAAATAAATGGAAAAATTATCAAAGCCTATAGACTTTGAAAATATTTCTGAATATAAACCAATCCCAATTTAAGATTTTATTAATTCGGTAAATTTGATTGATGGGATAAATATAATTTAGATTTCTTAAGATTAGACAAATCAAGGACAAGTTGGAATAGATCCAATAAAATCTATTAAAACTCATACTTATGGTATTTTTAATCATTATAATGACACATCAAATTTTAATTTGCAATTATTTTTTGAGGTAGAATTTGAGCAAAGATAAAATGGAACTTAACCTCATAATACATTTTGTACTGCAAAATAAGCAGCACTATATAATAAGGATTTAGTTCAGTAATATGTGAGATCAAAAAAACATATTTTTACTAAAGATTTTGAATATTATATAAAATGAAAAATTATTCCTAAAAAATATTATTAGAATTATAAACAAATTAATCAATCTAAATGTTTCAATTCATCTTCAATTTTAGTGGTGAAAACTTTTGCTTTATCGATAATTAAAGTCTTTATCTTAGTTGTTTTCAATTTTACGAATTTCTACTTATCCTAATAAAAGCAAAAAACTCAAAATATCATCTTTCACAGGTCCATTTGTTCGAATTTTAATTTCATATTAATCATCCATTCTATTAGATTCTTGTAATAATTGTAATGCTTGTTAATTGCAATAGTTTTGTTTTGATTACTACAAATTTTAATAATTTAATGATGTAGCTAAATCAAATGGATTTTCCCCAAGATTGATTTTAACTTCACTTTTTGATTCAAATAAATTTCTATTGTTTGATTTTTAGTTTTCTATTCTATATTTTTATTCACTCTATTTTTATTCACTTTATTTTTAATCACTATTTTTTTAACTTGCCTTTTATCCAGATAAAAATTAACAATCCTCATTACTCATTATTCTTGAAGTATTTCGACTGGTTTGAGATTAAAAATTCAGCAAATAGTCATAAGCATTCTTGTAATTCATTTAACGATATAAAAATTAATAATAAATTAAAAATATAATGTAAAATTTCTATTTAGTTCTTTTCTCTTTAATTTAAAGTGTTATTCAATAAATTATTATTATTTAAAAATTCATTATCTTTGATTTTGATTGAATTTTATCAGAAAATTTTTATTTTTGACAAATCATTTTCATTTGGGATAAAAAAATCAAGAAATTAAAAAATTCTTGAGAACAAAGAAATTCACAATTAGGGTTAAAAATCTAAGAAATAATCAATCAAAATAAGAATATTAATTCAAGTTTAAGTTGAATAAGCAATAATTTATTAAGGATGATTAACTACCAACTTTTCAATTATTTTTTGAAAGTATTAAATACATAAAAATAAATAAATAAAAACTTCTTATTGAACAATTATATTAATTTCCTTTTGTTTTTTAAAAGCTAATTTAAACAAAAACCCTTCAATTATTATAACATAACATTTTAGTTTTTTGTATCTTTAAAAATTTCAATAACTATGAATAATTTTATGTTATAAAAATACTATAAATTTTATTTATAAAATATTCAGCAAAACTGATTGAATATAAGACTAAGTGTAAGTATCTTGAACAACATATTAATTTAGTTTTTATTGTTTATATTTTTATATTTAAATTGATATTTAAAAATATGTTAGAATGTTTAGTTTTAATATTATAATATAATTTTGATGATTTATAGTAAATTAATTGAGAAGATGTTGAGAGTAATGTTAGTCGATTAAAAAATGAATATTTTTTAATAAATATAAGATATTAATATATTATATGAAATAAAAATAGATTAAAATTAGAAGCACATTTGCCACTTGGTTTTCAAATCTAAGACTGAGAACTTAAGTGTTAATTTTGTAAATTATTTATTTAGTAATAATAACAACCTGCCTTATTTGTTTGACATTAATAATTTAAAAAAACATAATAAACACATTAGCTTCAGATTCTGAATAAGTTTTAACATAAAAAGAAATGAACCGAATATCTGAAAATTATCTATATGAATTCATTTAGCAGATTAATTTTGAATTTTTATAAAGAAGTCAATCATTAAATGCTATGAACTCACTGTATTTAGTAGCTTAGGATAAAAAATTGAAATTTCTATAGGATCTCGATATTTGCTAATCGTTTGGTAAAACTTCTGAACTTTTGGAAAAAATTAGAAAATCATATTGTTTTTGTTATGGTATTGCTGGAGATTTTAATTTTGAATATAATGATAAGCTTAGATTGAGTAACATTCTAGCTATTACATCTACAATTATATCAAATTATACATAATTATATTATTCATCAAATACTGATGACTAATTTTACTCATTTAAACCTTGTTAATATGTTCCATCAGTCTGGATTCCTAAATTACGACCATGGTATATTTAGCACAATCAATCCAATTTATAAATTTAATATACTTCTGCCTATATAGGTTATGTAGGAGGAGTATGCATAACTTAAACTAAATCATTAATAAATCAATAAAATCTTACGATTGGTATTATTGCTAATGATATAACTATGGCTTAACTACCAATTTTGAATTAAAATTAAATCGCTGATATTCTTTTAATTGATTTTAAAGGAGAAATTTTACTCAGTAATCATTATGAAAAGAAGTAAAAAATTGTTGATTATTTTCAAAATGTATCAAAAACAGGTTTTAATGAATCTGATTTTGAAATCCTCTTGTAATATCAATAAAAAGCTTCTTATAAAGATTTATGTTAAATACCTATTAATAATACCTTTTGTTTATTTGATAAATTAAGATAAAAACTGTTTTATTTTAAATTATATTTAATTATGAATAATAAATACATTGTAGTTGCTAAATTTGATCCTTTTCTATATTCTGATGCGATGAACTCTTTGTTAGAGGAAATTAACTCAAAAAATGAATAAATGGTTACACTTTTAATTTTTATCATTATTTTAGCCTTATTCATTTTTTGTATCTCATTTTTAATAACTACTTTAGTTTTGTAGCGTCCTATTGAATAATTAATGTATTACTCAAATCAATTAAATAAATAAGGTAAAAATCTTTAAAGAAGTATTCCTAAAATTAAAATTGGAACCAGTATCGATGAACTAAACCTTGCTTTTTTTAATTTACTACATTAATAAAATCGTAATAAAAAAAACCAATAAAATAGAAACAAACAGTTCTTTTCTGAAACATGCAATTATTTAAAAAATTTAGATAAATAGTATTTTCATATAAACAAGGAAGTTTTTTAAAATTTAAGAGTAATTTATTATTTTTAATATAATAGAATTTAAAATATCCAGTATTTAATCAATCTAAAAGTTAATAATTTTCGAAATTAGAACAAATACTTTTATTAAATTTTGTTAGAAGGATCAACATTAAAATTTATAGTTCTCATAATACAGATAATAAAATGAATATCTATTGAATTATTTTTTTAGTTTTTTATTTTATATTCTAAATTTAAATTTAATTAATCAAATACTATTTACTAATAGTAAGATTATTTTTTCATCTAAAATTACAGAAAAGTTATTTGGTCTGATAATTTTTCTAAAAAATCTTAAGTCATAGAGCTTGTTTTCTAAGAAAGAAGCTTATTATAATACAAATACTATGAATTTCTCAGCATAAATGATATTTAGTCATCATTCTTAGATGAGAAATATATTTTGTAAAAATTAATTTAATTTTTATTACTTTAATCATACATTATGATTGAATCTATATTCTCTTATATTTTCTCTTACAAATATCTTATATAATTAACCAATGAAATTTTGAATATTAAAATCTGTAATCTTAAAGTAATTGGAGTTTTCAAAAGTTAAATTAATAATATATAAAATAAAATTATCCTAATAATTTATCAGGATTGATCAGATCCTTAGAAATTTTTAAAATAAAGTGTTAGCAAACCTAAAAGATTAAATAAATTATAATGATATAAGATAATCTCGTGCTAAAGCTCATTTATAAAGATATCAAATTGAAATTTTCCGTTCCAGATCCTTCTTAAACAATTGAATAACTAAAAGAAATTGTATTAAAGAAATTATCAGAGTAAGGAATAAATTTACAACCTAATAATGTTTAATGTAATGATTCAGATGATTTTATGCTTAATTCATCTGATATAATAGGATAATTATTAAAATAAAACGACACAGTCAAATTAGTAGAAAAGGTGGCAGATAACATACTACAATAATAATAACAATAATAATAATAATAATAACAATAATAATAATTATAAGAAACAACAGAAGAAGTTCAAATAATTTAATAATAAGATCCTGCCGAAGCAATAGTAGTGCTGTATGATATTTCGGGTTCAATGAGTTCAGCTTTTTTTGGAGATAAAGAGCTATCTAGAATGGGTGCAGTAAATGCATTTTTTTCTGCTTTTGCTGATAAGACTTTAGCTTTTGAATTTAATCATATTGTAAAATTGGTTTGGTTTGGTTCTTAGTTATATGATAAATGTGAATTTACAAGTGATTTCAATAAATTCATAAAATTGGTAGATGATGCAAATCCTGGAGGTTCAACAAAATGTTATGATGCGATTGATTATGCAATAAAAAAATTATTAGAAGTAAAATAAAAATACCCAGATATTGTATTAAGAATAATTGCATTAACAGATGGAGAAGATAATGCTTCAACTAGTAAACCTAATACTTTGGTATAAAAAATCTTTGATAATAAAATAATAATTGATTCATTTGTTGTTGGAGACAACTGTGTAGGTTTAAAAACATTAACTCATGCTAGTAATGGTAGATGTTATTGTCCAAGAGATTTAGGGTAAGGTATGTAACTATTTGAAATTGAGAGTATTTTAAGTACAAGTAGAAGAGAAAAAGTTGAATTGCCAACTACAGTGGTTGATTTAGATGCAATCAAAGGAAAACCATTTGATACAGATGGAATGAAAGTAGTTACAGTAGATTTATCAAATAAAGCTGTTATGAAAAGAGATGAAATTCTAAAAAGAGCAAAAGAAGCAGAAAAATAGGATAATTAATAACCACCTAATACAACAACTGAAGCAAAAAAGGCTCCAGCTTCTGGGGGTGGAAGAGAAAGAAGAGTATTAAAAGAATTAAATGATGCTATAACTAAAGGTTCTAATGAATGTAAAATATATCCAACTGCAGATGATATTGGTGTTTGGAAAATTTTAATGATAGGCCCAAAAAATAGTCCATTTGAAAATGGAATCTATTAATTAGCCTGTGTGCTTCCTCAGGATTATCCATTTAAACCTCCTAAAATTACATTTGTTACTAAAATGCATCATCCAAACATTAGCAAAACCTCTGGATAAATTTGCTTAGATATCCTAAAAGATAGATGGAGTCCTGCTTTAACTGTATTTTCAGCTATTGTTTCTATTAATAGTTTATTAACTGATCCAAATCCAGATGATGCTTTAGATAGTAATGTAGCAGCTGAATATAAACATGAAAGAAAACTTTATCAAGAAAATGTATTAAAAGAAAAACAACTCTATGCTAATCCAACAGTTGAAAATTTATTAAATGATGTTTTAGGTTAAGTTAGTGTTGATTCATAAGAATATAAAGATGCTCATAAAGATCTCACTGAATGGATTTAATAGAATAAAAAATGAATTATTGTGTAATTTTATTATAAATATAATTTATAAAAAATTTTTTATATATTTAAAGCTAATAAGCAATATAAATGATCAAATTATATTAATTATTTCTGCTTTATTAAGCATATCCTATACTCTATTTGAAACTAAAGGATGATATAAATATTTGTCTTCTTCAAACCACTATTTTGCTAAGTCTCTTGAAAAATAATTTAACAAATTTACAAATAGTTTTAAATCAAAACTTCATAAATTCCTACAATATAAGATCGTACTCCCAAACTTTATAAAAATTATCGAACAGCCCAAAACGAATCTTCATATTTACAAAGTACAATAGTTCTATACCATTTAAATCCAATTTAAACTCCTTGCTTTGCTCCTGAAAACTTGTAAAAATTTTCTAATTCTTTAATTTTTTCTTTATTTAATTTTTCCCAATTAGACATAATCTGTTGCATAAAAATAGTTTATTAATTTGGCATATATTCTTTATATTCATTAGCATTTTCAGGTTCTTCATTATTATGAATCCATGCATTAGCCAATGAAATAGCCTAGTCATATTTTGGAGTTTATTAATTAAATTATCTAGGTGGTAAACCTAAATAATAATTATTTTTTACCTAATTCATATACCCAAGGTTTATAAACAAGAATAATTTCATTAATTATATTTTAAGAATTATCTAGAATATTTTATCTGACCCATCCTAAAAGATATTTATATAAGTCATCTTCATCTATACTCTAAAATTTAAAATATTCTAAGTAGGATCTTAAAAATAATTTAAAATTCTCTTCACCAATAAGCTATTCAAGATAGTATAGTAATTAATAACCTTTTTCATAAGGCACTAAAGAGAAGGAATCATTTGGATTTTTCCAAGTAGTATTTGGATGCAAAGATTGATAAGTTAGTTTTTCAGGATCAAAAAAACTTTAAATATCTGCAATCAAATCTATATTCCCATTTATTGCTTCAATAACATCATAATCCTTTGGTCTAACAAATTAGTAAGTCTTTCTCTCTAAAAATACACATAAACTTTCCATAATCCATAAATTTGACCAATTATTACCTGTAACTGTATTACCCATCCAAGAATGAGCAATTTCATGTACAGCTATGCCAACTCCACTTTTATCACCTACAATTATCATAGGACTAGCAAATGTTAATAATGGATGTTCCATTCCTCCAAAAGGACAAGATTGGGGTAGTATTACTATTTTATAATCTCCCCAAATATAAGGACCTATATATTCTGACATTTTTTAAATAAAAAAAGGAAGTTCTTCTAATTCTTAAGCATATTCATCTAAAAAGTAGGGTTCCGATATAACATAACAATTTTGTCCAATTTGCTTTTAAGCAACTTCTCCAGCAACTATTCCTATCAAATATGCAGGAATAGGAATATCTAATTTAAAAGAATATGTGTATAATTATTTTTCTTTATATTACCCTATTAATGATAAAGTATCTATCTAATTTCCTGTCATAAACACTTTAATAAGAGGGTCTTTACTTAAGACTGTAGAAGAATATGTAAACTTAACACTAGGAGTATCTTAGAGTGGCATTAGAGATCTACATTTTATTGCTTCGCATTATGAAAACATATATGGAACATTCTTACTTTAAGTTTATTCTTTCGTTAAAAAACCTGCTGCTCTTGCCTTCTCAGTATAAGCATATCTTATTCGAATAACTAAGTTTTCTAAAGCTTTGTATTAACGATCAAGCTTTATTACTAATTTATCACCTTAGACAAGAGTCTGATTTTTAACAACTTCTATTTTAAATTCAAGCGGGTTTCCATTCAGTAAATAAACATTAAATACATCTAGTAAATATACATCTAAATCAATCTTTCTTTTTAATAATTGACTCATACATGATCTACATTCTTTAACACTTTTAATTAATATTCTGCTGTCGCATTCACTATCTTATTATCTAAATCTAAAAGCCATTCTAAATGTAAATGAGTCATTCTTAATTCAACATAATTGCTGAAAGTATTTGCATCTAAGTCAATAGTAATACAACTTAAAACTAAAGTTGAAATAATCAAATATTTTATCATATTTATTTATTTTTAATTATTGTTATATATATTAACATTAAAGCTATTTCTTGATCATCTAAAATATTTTTTCTCATCATTTACATTGATTGAGACATAAAGAGTTGTTTATGATTTGTTAAAAAAATATTAGGTTTAAAAATAATCATCCTTTAATATTTTTATTATTTATTTATTCTGATTCAAGATAAAAACAAATAATAATCTAACCTCAAACTATCTCCTTTAAATTTAAAATTGCAAAATTAATAAAATTTTTATGATAAAATTTTAATTAATTTTAGCTTCAAATATAAATGATTAAAACTTAAATAGAAAGAATCCTACAATTTTATAATTATATAAATAAACTAATACAAATTTGAAGAGGAAGAAATGAATTGGAATAATAATTTAAAAAATTGGTTTCTTTATTTTTTTCAATTTAAATATTTTATTAATTCAGCATATTTTATTTTGAATACAAATTTTGATAGTTACTGTTATTATGGCTTAATCAAATTTATTCAGACTAATTCGTTACGTTAGCCTGATTTTGAACAGAATCATCGTTCCTTATTAATCATATGTTATTTTTATAGTGAATTATAAATGCTAATGAATTTATCTAGCCATAAGTTAATTGGATTTTATAAATTATTTGAATATACTCAAAAAGTTTGAGAACTAAATATTATTCTAAAAAAATAAACAGAAAACGATAATAATGGTAGATTTACATTAATTTAAAATTAAATAATTATGAATCAGCATTCATTATACTGACATCATTTTGATGCGTATTAAATTCTGAATATTATTAGTAATAATGAATTGTGTTCGTTTTATATTAGAAAATATTAATTGATTGTAGCTATCTTTAATAAATTAATGATTACTTAAATCAATGAAGATTCTCCTTTAAAATAAGAAAAGAGGGAAAGGAAAAGGAAGCCAATAAAATATATTTAACT